TTCATAGTCGTAAGCTTTGTAGCTTAGTCGAGATTCCACTCGAGATACAACTTCGTAGTTGTTTAAATCGACTTCGTAGTCGTAAGCTTTGTAGCTTATTCGAGATTTCACTTGTTATTCCCTGTTATCCATTCCTTATTTCAACAAAGCATTTCATGTTGTATCTAAATATCAGTACATCTGTTCATGTGTTTTTTTTTTTGTTTTTTGTTTTTTTTTAGCAAATATCAAGAAAAGTTCATGAGTCGTAGTCTATTCACATCTTTTAATTTACGATTCCGATAGCAATAATGGCAATAGATGCATCAGAACGATCAAACATATCCATGTAAGTCGCGATATCAACAACATTTCTCTACAATATATTCGAATGGTGCACATTTCTCCAAGAAAGAGTGCTAAGAAATTCAATGCGTTGATAGATCATGTCGACCAAAACAAATGTCGAGGGTTGAGATTAATTGTGTACCTTAAAGTCGAGAATACCGCTGGGAATTATCCAACCTTACCAAAAGAAACTTGATTTCTGTCTCCAAGATTGCCATCGGTGATTGGCTTCATCAAAACCCAACCTCCATTGTCATCTCACATTGATAGATTCGTGCTCGGTCATTTTGGGTTCCTCGTCAAGAATTCAAAGAGATTTCGTTATCAACGTTATATTCACGTCATCCATCTTATCATTTTTCACACGAGAAAAATAAGAGGTCAAATACGAACATTATCTTCTCAATTCAAGGCGTGTTCTAGTAATGACACGCTCAGAAAATTATGGGCAATTTAATTCAGACAAAATTCCACATGTACTCATGAAAATTCCAATGAGAGACTTCGAATATATCAAAATAACCAATCATATATAAATTTAATTCATGTCCTCAAACCCACTGATGCGAGAGTGATAAACATACCCAATGCACGTCAAGCATGATCGCAAAATATTCTCACCACACGAATGACTAATTCCATGAGAGAGTCAAATAATTTCCATGAATAATTCAAACGTCTCCCAAGGGTAATTCAAGTAATTCATACGAATAAATCACATAGTACGCTTGCGAATAAATTGAATATCGTCTCCACGAGTATAACAAATATCTTCATGAGTAAAACAATTAATCTTCATGAATAAATCAAACGATATGCCTTGATCATGAGAATATTACCCTACGTTACCTCTCCGTCCATTTCGAATCATCGTGGATTAGCATTGAGCACTAAATGAGGGTTGTTAGACCATTCTGGGCCTGTTTGGGTTGCTTGGGGCGCGGTCTGGGCCGCTTTGGTACGGTCTGGGATGCACCGGGCCGAGTCGGGGGCAATTTGGGTGCTCAGGGGGCCGCATAAGGGTACTGGGCTGTGACTGGATCTCAAATGGGCCACTGAAGCCGCTGTTGGGCCGGGCATAGGGCAGCAGGGGGCGCGGGCCGGATGGGCTTCACGCGGGCTGAACACAACAAGCAGGCAGGCTGCTGTGCGGGCTGGACGCGGGCCGGACGCGGGCCGGGGCTGAGAGCAGAGCGTGTTGAGGCGCGGGCCAATACGGGCCGCCAAGTCCACGCGCTGAAGACTTCTGCTGGGCTGAATTGGGTCGCGCACGAGCTGGTTTCCTCACGCTGGGCCGCGTCCATGGTGAGCTGGGCCTACTGGATCGCGGATTGGGCCGGACGGATCGCAACGGGGCCGTGGGAAGGTGGGCTGAAGACGCTGAAACGCGCGGGGTACAGGTCTGGGCGGCGACTCTCGACGGAGAAGGTGATAAGAGGCGGCGGTTAGGGCCCGCCGGATTTAGAGAAGGTGGGCATGCGTCGACGCGCCCCGACGAGGGGAATCCATTGGTGACCTCGGATTCGAGTGATTCGCCTGAATCCGACAAGAAATCGAAGAAGAAATCGGAGGTTGACCAATTTTCACTCTAGATCTAAAAACTTTGACCTCCAAATCGACAACCTTACAGTAGGAATCTTTGCGTGAGATTGCAAGGGTATGACGAGCTTCACGAGAGCTTCACGATGGTACCAACGGTTTTTCGATCAGAGCACTTTGACCAGCGGCCGGTGGCGGAGGCGGCGGCGGGCGGCGGCGATCGGCGGAGGTTGGGGTCTAGAGATTTGTCTCGGCGAGAGGATTCGGATGGTACTCTCGGATTTCCGATAGCCTTCCCGGATTGTCGGGAAAATTGATTTTATTGTTGATAGTTGACCGGAATTATTTAGATATGAAAACTTTGACCGGAAGATCGACGACCTTCCCGGATGAATTTTCAAACAAAATTTTAAGGGAAGAGTCTCCTCGAGGAGATCTATCCAATAGTGTAAGAATCATTTCGATCCGGTCACTTTGGCCGGAGGTCGACGACGGCGGTGGCGGCTGGAGGTGGTGCCGGTGGCGGCGGCTGCTCGAGTCGAAGGAGCTTTGTTCGAATTTTCAGACAGGACACCGTTTGGCTTCTCGAACGGGTCCCCACAGACGGCGCCAAAATGATGGGACAAAGATGTCACCCGGGCTCCCTCGTCTCGGACGGCCACCGTACCTGCAAGAACCCAAAGCCAAGGACCCCGGGAGGGGTGCCCGGCTTTGGGCCTCCGATGCTTAAGTCAGTACATGATCCATTAGAGAGTGCATATAGAGAGAGAGAAAGAGTAGAGAGATGAAGTGTGGTGAGGGAATGTGTAGAGAATGTAGGAAATGAGTACCTTAGCCTCCCTTTTATAGGGGGAGTATATCTTATAGTCCAAATGGAGCTTGGCCAAAGTTGGGCTTGGCCCATATTATCATATCAAGTGTCCTAGCCTATTTATGGGCGTATTTTTCAATATATATCTATAAAAACCGGTCGGGTATGACATGTTATATCAAATACTACCGGTCGAGTCGGCAATACTAGTTGTGGCTATATCACAATGCAACTTACCATGATTTTTTATTGTGATTAAAAACCAAATTTTACGTTTAAAATATTGTGAAATTATTATTATTATTTTTTATAAAGCACATATTATTTGTTAAAAAATTGTATATATATATATATATAATACACATCACAGTACCATGGTAGATGATAGGGGTGGGAC